AACATGTTTCTAAGCCAGCTGCTCCTAACTGAGAAAACAGTGGTTCATTTTTAAATATCTAGGCTATGAAGAGAGACACTGCCACACTGAAACTGTGCAAGTTCCCAGAAATATATTTTGTGGTAGACATGACTGAATAGTGTCATGTGTTGTTCTGCAATCAGGAGTGAACAAACATTTATACCTCATTTGCTGCAAATGGCTTTTGAGCCAATACTTTATTTTTTTCTAATTTAATTTTTTTTCATAATTGCAACATCAGTAGCCTCACTAATATATTCCACCCTTTGTTTAATTTATGCTTTCCTTAATTATATTCTCTTTCAGCCACAGCTTGGGTGAGTCTGGAGAATGTATGTGGTGGTGTAGTTAAAGTCTAGCAGTCCAACAAGGGTGACTGCCAATTTGAGACAGCTGTAAGAAGCTTTGTTATCCTAAACACTTTGCTGGGTGACTCTGAGGCAGCAAGACATGCAGGGTTTGTCCAATGCCCTTTTATTTTATCTGATGCAATGTTTCACTATTTCATACATGCACATTTACCCCAAGCCAGAGCTGTCAGCTGCCCTGGTTTAAATGTGTAAGTGATGCTACACTATGGTGATAAATTTGTACGTTTTACATGTGCCACCCACATGTGCTCCCTGAATTAACCTCAGCTTCTCTGAGCAGAGCAAGATGTCTCACCAGCTGCTCCAGCCAGTTTAAGTCATTAAAAAGTGCTGTTGAAGTTGGCGACAGTCGTTGGGTTCAATTTGGGCTCATTTAAAACCGGTTTCCATAAATAAAGGTCCTGCAGAGAAGTCTCAGACTCACACAGATGCCATTCCCTTCCTTGCTGTTTGGTCCTTCAAGATGAAATGACACAAGACCTGTGGTCCTGGTGACAAGGCTGACAAGAATTTGGCTTAAGAATGATGGATTTACAGACCAAATTCCAGATAATTGATTTCGCTTTTCTGCAAAGCTGCTTTAATCTTGTTGCCAAATACCTAGCACTGGCTGAGGTCTTTCAAACAAGCGAGTCTTTTCTGAGCTGGAACATTCTGTGTAACATTTTCCCTTTTCTGGGTGATGATTTAAAAATTACTGTTTGATTTTCAACACAAGCTTTGGCAGTCCAGAATTAATGTAAAGTTGGAGGGCATAGGCCACAAAGCCAACAGATTATTTCTGATATCCCACTCAGATGCTGCTGTAGACACAGAGAGAAGAAAGGCAGCTCTCCTGTTGACATGTTCAATCAGCACAACTTTGGGACATAGAATATGTAACACCATGGCCACACTATTCCTTCACACTGTTCAGTCTGGGAATATTTTTTTTTGTTCTTCAGACTGAACACTTTGAAATCTCTAACCAGTTTTGTGTCCTTATTACCACTAGACATAAGAGCTGCTACACCAGCTCGTCCTCAGAAAAAAGAAGCGGTTTGAAGGCACCATGCTGTTCCTGTAGCTGCCTGGAGGTTGGTTATGCTGGCACTGATCATTAGTGTTCTTCTAGCAAGTACAAGTGCTGGCCTCCATCATCATTGAAAGAGTGTCCTGGGAGTGTTTTGTTTCAGAAAAGCCACCTCAGACTTAGTCACCAGCATGGGATTGCATAAATCATGCCCTTTGGTCTCTGTTTCCCAGGACTTCCCTCTGCAGAAGGGAATCCCCAGGAATCCTGTTAAAATGGCTCTTAGCTGTTTGATATCTTCAGGGGGATGTCAATCAGCCCCACAATCATGGATTTTAGTGCTGCAGGTTGCAAACTGAGGACCACAGCGATGTGCAGAAAGCCAGCTTTGACTCTGACAGTGGTCTCATCCCAGCAGCACGGCAGCCCACGTGGAATCATTTCCTCAGGAAGGAATGAAAAGAAGCCACGCTGTGCTCAGTGACTCTGTGGCCAAGCCAAGCCTGCCCCCCTGTCAGGCTGCTCTAGGGACAGCATTCCATGATGAAGGGGATGGGTAACTACAATCATCATGTGTGAATCTACTCTTACCTAGTACTGCTGGGGTAATGAGCCCACTAAAATTTTCCAGCCCAAGGCCAAGAGAAGGATCTCTGTCTTTTCCTTTCTCTCTCTCCTTTATTGACTTAACAATTGCTCCAGCAATTCAACGTACATTAGAGAAGGAGTGCAACTGGTTGTGCATTGCTTGAGCATTATGACACTCCAGGTGTGCATGCTCAGACATGGAGAGCTGAAAAGAGGATGACAGGCATGACTACAACAAGTCTGACAGAAATTACACTGCTCATGATTAGTGTGAACCCCTGTTGCGAGGCAAAAATGATGCAAAATAGAGAATAGGGAGAATAGAGCTGGTTTATACACTGATTTCCATTTGCAGTTTCTGACACTGGGCTGATGTGATGGAGAAAGTCAGTGGACCAGATAATCAAAATTCAGAGGACAAAATAAAATTCTTAATAATAATCCTAATTAACAATCCATTTATTTTGCTTGTCAAGTAATAAAATGGCAATTTAATCTGCCAGGAAAATTATTCTGTAATCTGAACACAGAAGTTTTAGTATTGAATGCAAAGCAAAATTAGCTCTCATCTACAATAGAGAAAATTCAAAAGCACAACGGTAGATAAGGTCATGTACTTCTGGTTTATATTAATACATATTTGACCCCGGGCAAAGTGCCAACTTGAATTCAATAGTTTTGAAGAGCAACTGTCCATAAAAAGAGTTGCCACTGGAACTCAAAGCAATTTGACAAAAAAAAATTCCATTCACCAATCTCTTTACATGATTTATTGTGAAATTGCACCACTTTAGAAAGTAAGATCTGTTCTCAATGGATGCCAAGAGCCTCCTCCATTGTCTCGCAAAAAATGGAACAGATGGTTTCTGGTTTAAAATCACTGCTTCCGTGACAAAGTCAATGGGTAAGTCCCTCTTTGCTGCAGCTGAGAGCCTGGATAGACTGCATGTCATGCTGGCTCCCTTTGAACACAGGTGTGCTGGTTGTTGTTGTTGATCACCTACATACACCTGCATATATAATTATAATTTTATATACATGTGTGTTCGTAGCCTTCAAAAAGAGCAAAGAAGGTTTTTTTTCACATTTACAAACTTAAGTTCACAGACCACACCCAAGCCCTGTTCCATTTTGTGCTTTACATCCCTTTCAAAGGCTCCAGGTAAGAGACAGCCTATAAAGAGCTTCTGCTGAGACATGAATTTTAGTTTGGACCAGTCTGTTAGACTACCATATTTTAGTTCCAGCTTACTCTGTGTGGTCATCTTGGCTGTGGTGTCAGGGTCAGTCAACCTTTCTGCTTTCTATCAGCTCTCCCACTGCCCAGAGCAAATCTGAAGAACTTCCTTGCATTGGGCTTCTTTTCTCATGTATTTCTAAGTGTTTCTAAGACGTTTACACTGTTAATCCCTGTTGATGCATCTTCCACTCAGTACCAGATAATGTGATGGTGATTTAGTTTGGACCTTTGAGTGTGACAGTCATGGTGATAGACAGCACCTCCTTGCCCTCACTATGCAATGAGGGCTGGGAGCTCTTCACTATGGTTTGGGGCAGCTGAATTGGGACCTATAATATCACACTGAATAATTTAGCAGCTTTTACTGACCTTGATGTCTTCACAAATTCCCCTCTAATGTCCATAGCTATGTGTGAGAATTTAAATGCTTTTCATCGCTTTTTTTTTTTATTTTCACTTTAAAATTCTCCTGGTCCAGCAGACTTCTCAATCAGCTAAAAAGCCTTCATCCTAGAAGTTCATTCTCATTTTCCTTCTTGATTTTGAAAGCTTTTTTTCTATCCTACAAATCCCAGAGAGTGTCAGTGCTCATCTGGGACATGCTGAATTTTGTAAAACTTTTTTTTTTAAGTACAGCTCTTAGGAGGAAAACATCCTGGCAAGGTAAATGAAGGGGGAATGATCTTAACTGGAGTAGGTATTCCATCTTGAATGACTACCAACTTCACTGTGAGGTGTGTAGAGGTGGAAAAATTCCTGACAATTTTCAGAGCAGGGAATAAACGCAGGACTGTTTCTCAGGGTTGGGGTGCTGTCAGCATTTATTTTCTCTTTGGGGACAATTTAAAACAGCAACAGAAAAGCTTTTGAACTATACAGTACTACAGTTCCATGAATTTTGGTTGCTGATGCATAAAAAGAGTTCAGAAATTTCAGATTTGTTTTTCTGCTACTTAATTCCCAGAAAAGTATGCTTGAAAGGAATTTACCAGAATAGATCCTTTTTCTTTTAGATTATGCCATATGTAGCTCCATGTGTGTATATATCTATATCATCTATATCTATCTATATCTATAATCTGTACACATTTCCTGTAGTCATTTGATTGAAGGATTCCTCATTTCCTTGTGCATTTTGTTTTGTTACAGTACTGTTATTTATCAGAAGTCACAATGCTTATTTTGATAGCAAGACTGAATGAGATGTTTAGCATTCATTTTTATATGAAGTACATTAATTCCTTGAAATATGTTGGAAGTAAAGGTACTTCTTTATTTCATATAACTTATAACGTAAGTACAAGACTTTAAGTGTTTGGAATTTACTTACAATTCTTACTGTTGTCACTGTTACATCTGGATGAAAATAAATTATAAAACCTCACCATTATCAGTTTAGCAGAGCAGTGCAAGCCCTGCATGCCCTCTGCTGGAAGTGATCCCTTGCAGGATGATGTAGATCAGCTGTGGCAGTGCTCAGTGTCTGACCTGCAGACAGACACACTCCCCTTTGATATACTTAGTTACTCATTAAGTTATGTGTTTCCATAGCAGTTTGTTAACCCAGTAGGAAGGAAAGTTCCTCTAGTGCATTATTTTCTTCACACTTTTCATTACAGCTTGAACTCTTTCAGCCGCCTTCTTGACTTATTAACCTTGTTACTCCATAGCAGTAAAAAGAAAATTAGTAATTTGTTGTGGAAAGTTATTGAATGATATCACATCACTGACACAGGTTTTATATGTACAATTTTTCTCTGCTTTTAAGGAAGTTTACAGGTCCGATACAAGCTGAGTAAGGATGGGCTCCTCATTTTCACCATTGACTCTGGAAATTTTGCCAACCGAGAGCTGCACCGTGTGAAGATTAACAGGGAAGGCAGAGAGCTCGTCATTCAGGTATGGCACAGCTTGTGCTGGGTGTTAAACAGCACTGCACGCCACAGACACTGGCACAGGTAGCCCAGAGAAGTTGTGGATCCCCCTCTCTGGAAGTGTTCAAGGCCAGGTTGCTCTGAGTGCTCTGGTCTGTCAGTGGGTGCTGTCCCTGTGCACAGCACGAGGGCTGGAACAAGATGGTCTTTAAGGTCCCTTCCTGCCCAAGCCATTGTATGATTTATGAATTCTGGGAATCAGGCTCCCTGATCTCAGTGCCTGATCAGGGGCAGGAGGCAAAGGTTTCACACTGATCCTGCAGCAGAACAGCCCTGTAGCTTCAAGCAGAGCTCCACCTGGACCCTCAAAGAGTGCCCAACAGTGGTGTTTTCCATTGAAAGGTCTTCCCTTGCTTCTGACAAAATGTGAATTAGGAAACACCTTTGGCCAGAAGTTCATCTGGACCACTGGAGGGGTTCTGGGGCTTAGGAATGTCTGTGTGATCTGTAGTCTCCATTGAAACAAGGGAGAAAAAAAGCTGAGGAATTCAGTTTTGGTTAGGGTATATTTCCCAAAGGAGAATGTGACCCCAGCTGCCTTATCCTCTCAGAGAAAAGGAAAAGCTGAGGGAATGCAGGGTGCAGTCAGCATGTACATGGTGCTGCCCCATCCTAGAAACTGGAAGCAAGCCATGCTGAGTGTGACAACCTCAAGAGGGACAAAACCCCTCCTCTGCCTTGTTCCCCTGCATCACCTGTTTTTCCAAGGTAGGGAGAAGAGGACCATCTTGCTGTTCCTTCTGCTTTTCTTCTAAGGCTAATTATAGCCATCCATATTGCAAAACAGGTTGGCTAGATCTGGGCAAAAATCATTTAACAAGGAAGAGTGGCAGAGTCTATAGAGAGAGGTTGTATCTTAAGGAATAGAATGAAAAGATAGAAACACACAGCGTTGCATTTTTTTCTCTCTACAGTTTCCATCTCTGGGTGGTAAAATCACACATCACACAACTACAGTGGGTAGGCCTCAATATCTAAGAAGAAGGGTTATGCTAAAAGCCAGGGTTTTCCTCAAGTACCAGTCTTCTATTGTCTGCTGCTCTGTGGTTTTCTTCTGTGCAGAACTAATTCTTCACAACACATTTCTAGAGTGGCCTCCTTTGAGTGTATTTTGAAGTGACTAGACATGGATTTTGGGAAGCAGGGGGATTTCAGGGTCAAACTTTAAGCTTTTCTGCAGGGGAAGTTTCTTCAAAGTCCTTTATATGACTATTCTGGTATACCTTTCAGCTTCTCATGCTAAAATCAAAGCACATCCACTTTGCTATCTTTAGAAACTGAATCATGCTTGGGGGCAGAATTAACAGATTGGCAGCTGAGAACATTCCCAGAAGTTTGCAATGAGTACAATGAGATCTAGAGGTGTCCATGCGCTGTTGTACTGAAGTAATTTTATTGACTTTTTCCAGGTTGATCAAGTTCTCAAACTCAAACACAACTTTTCTGAGATTGATTTCAAGGCCATTAAGTCACTCACCTTGGGCAAGGTCACAGGTAGGTTCTACTAAATATACTCCTGATTCATGAGATGTTGCAGTGCTGGAATTAGTCTGTGCTGTGTGTTGGGTTTTTGATAGAATTGGGGGTTTGTTTGGATGGTTTTTGCTGGAAGAGTTGGCCTGAACATTCCAGTACTCTATTTATATATCTCATCAATGCAAAACTTTGGCAGCTTTACTTGTTTGCATCGATAGCAATATTAAGTGCTCCGACTGCTCCCTCCAGTGAAGTGATTCATACAGCCTCTGTGGCTGCACAGGGCAGCATCTTAGCCTAATGATACCATTTTGCTGACTGCAGCTTCCTCCTCTCCAGCCATTTCTGTTTCCTAATGATAAGAACAGCACAATGGAGCCTTCATCCTCTCTGCCCTTTTTTTCACTGCCAGTCTTTTTCCATTTGAATTCTGCAAGGAATATTGCACATAGCACTTAGGCCACAATTCTGCATGTTCTGTACATGTTTCCTTGATCTTTACTCCTCCACACTAGAAAGCCATTACAAGCCCTGGAAAACCCTGCCTGAAATTTAGAAAATAGAACTGCTCTTTTTTATTGTCAAGTATGTCATATTCCTTTATATTAGAGTCTTGTTCTTTCCCAGGAAGATTCTAAATACAACCTTTTTTACAGACATTTCAGTCCTTTGTTCAAATTGGACCTCCATATCAAGTCTGACATCTGAGTCACCATTGCAATTTTATATGTTTCATTATTAGCACACGAGGCCTGTGGGACTGGCATCTAGACAGGCTCTTCAGACATCCCCTGGTGCCTGCCTGTGCAGTGTAACTCTGGAGAGTGATAATAGTGCATTCTGCATCGTGTTTAATTAAGTAGATTAAGAGCAGGACCTGATTATCCCCTTAGTTATATATAATGGGGTTTTTTTCAGAATGCAGCCGCCTTCCAAGCCTTTGTGGACAGGTTTGGGAACCTGACAGTTTTCAGCCCAATTCAGAGCTAAGCTAAAATTCCAGCTTTGTCAACGTTTAGCTGTAGTGCTAAAAATCTAAAAGAACATTACTCGTCCTGACCTCTACCTAGAACTCGAGCTATAGACACCAAATCAATAAAGCAAGGATTTTTTTTTTTACCAGAAAGATGGAAGACAGCACAAAGCCCTTCAAAAATGTAGCCAGAAAGCTGACATGCTGCAGCTCAGCATTATGGAGAGAAACTAGGTTGAGTCACAAAAATATTATTAACTTCACAAGTGCAAATTGTTGCAAAGCCAAAAAGCCCAGGTGTATCTCCAAAGGTCAGCCATTCAGTTCCACTGAACACCATTGACTTTTACCCTTCCTTTATTTCTGTCTTGCCCCAAAGTTTATTGGGGTTTTGTTTTAGTAAAACAATAGTTCATATTCTGTAATGGCACTAAAGCCATAAGCTTGGCCATCCAGGTGGTGAAATACTGTTGCCATACTGGAAATGACACAATGCATCCCAGCAAGTCACTTTAATTCCAGCTTAATCCTAATCCCAGTTTCTTTTACATATGTTACATGAATTTCCCCAAACTGTTTCTTCTGTATTAGGATTTATTTTCCAGGTTCTATCCCACAGCTGTAGCTATGCTGAGTCCCTGTGCCCTCAGTAAATTACTGACCTTCCTCAGTCTTCTCCCTCCAGGATAAACACTCCCAGCTCTATCAATCCTCTCTTCACAGGAGAGATGCTCTGGTCCCTAAATCACCTTTGCAGCCCTTCACTGAACTCACTCCAGTAAGTCCATGCTTTCCTCCCACTGGGAAGCTGTCTCTCTCTGCAAAGCTGCTTACCAGCTGCTCAGCCCCAAACCAGTGCTGCTGGATGGGGTTCTTTCTAAAGCAAGTGCAGATCTTCCCATTTCCCTTGCTGAAATGCAGTGTTCTTGTTTTCTCGTTCCACCAGCTTGTCAACATCCCTCTGAATGGTGACACAACCATCTGGTCTACCAACTGCTCTCCACCATGTTTTATCTTCTCCCAACTTACTCAGGTTACACATTATTCCATGATAGAAAGAAATAAAACCAAACCAGAAATTCCTACTGCTGCAATGTTAAGAGTATTGCTTTGTTGTACAAAGAGGAGAGCTAGACATTGTCATTTTGGGGCTGTGGAACTTACATAAGTATGTTAAATCATTATTTATCCTGGTGTATAGATAAAATGTTGACTATGGCTTCTTTTAGTGATGGCTCACCAGGTGAATATGGGTGACTTAATCCAGTATCTGCCAAATTTTTCCTTCTCATTGCTCATGCCCTCAGCAAAGCATAAAACTTCCAGAGGCATGTGATGCTTTGGAGTAGACATAGGCTTCCTGTAGTGTTTATTTTGGATGCCAATGGGGTTGCACACCTAAAGGCATTCATTAGAAAATTTAAGTTCTACTGAAAGAGAACCCTGTAAAAGATTTTCTGTTCTACATGTCCTACATATCCATGCTATAATCTTCTAAAAATATGTCTCTCTTCTTTCCTGTCACATTCCTGCTCATTTGTCTGCTCTAACAGCCTCATCCTGGCTGCCTAATCAGATGATTATACCACCTTCTTTTTTGATTCCACCATTAATTTTCCACTGACTGGGAAATCTCAAAGAGGTCTTCCAGCAGGACGTCATGAAAGCCTGAAACTCCTTCTTCACAGATTTTCTTATGATAGCCATTTCAGCACAGCTGGAACTTTTGAAAAGCTCACTTTTATAAAATGACCAGTTTTTTAAATAACAGTGTTTCCCCTGCTTCTACCCCTCCCCACCCCAGCCCCATTACACCTTCTTTAGGTACTTACACTCCAATATTTTTTATCCTTTTCAAACTGGCTATGTTTTTTTTCCAATGGCTGCCTTATTCACAGCTGCAACTGTGAATTCTTGGGGGGAAAACCCTCTGTTTTAGGCAGAGGAGTCTCACCTCGAATTGAAAACATAGGGACAGTCACTCTGCCACAGACTACTTGAATGACCTTGGGTAAGCCATTTATGTGCAGATATAAAGGTAAGCAGGCATTTTATTCCCACTGGAACCAGTCTGAGCTTTACTATCTCCCTTCTCTATCAGTAAAGCATAGATAATAGAACAGCACTGTATCAGAGGGGTGCTGGGAGGATAAAAGCATTAAAGGCTGTGAGCTCTTCAGATACACAGTAATGGGACCATATAGCTGCCTTGGAAAGATCAATCTAAATATAAGTGTGGCTTTGAAGACAAGGGAGTAAAAGGAAGCATCATTCAAGTAGCCAGCAGATGTCTGTTGAATTCATCCTCACTGTACCCAACAGCAATAGGAAAATATTATTATCTTGTAGTTTGTTGTCATTTTTACTTCACAAAAATAGAGTCAGGACACAAAAGGACCTATCCAAAGCTCATTGGTATCAATGGGAGTTTTTCCATGGATTTTAGTGAGTACTGGCTTCAGGCCCCAAGTGAGTCATACACTTTATGGCAAAGCCTCAGTGAAATTTTAACCAGAGTCCCAGTTCATTTACTTTAAGTGCTCCTTGCAGAGATCATACTGCTGTATTTAACCACATGAACATTCTGACCTAACTGTGAGGCTGGCTCTGCTTTGAGCAAGGGATTGAACTGCATGACCTTCAGAGGTGTCTTTGAATTTAAATTATTTTGTAATTCTCTGATCTCAGAAACACATTTGCATTTGTTTAGGTGTTGTCTACAAAAAGCTGTTATCCCAGTGGAAAATACAATTCCTTTGTTTGCAGGTTTACTTTAATGAATCCTTGAAAACTTTTTACTGTGCCCTAAAATGTCTAAATTTTTCACCATTAATGTCCCTGGGAAAAATGATCTCTGATGCAGAGAAGTGAATTTCATTGTTTGTGTATTTGTGTCTGTGCAATTTAATATTGTAGGTGTGTGGGAATACCAGAGTAAAAGGGTAGCACTGAAAGGATTCAAGAGGATTTTGAAGCAAAACGTTGCAAGTATTTCTTTAGAACCTATTAGTGTTGAGCTAATTTATTTGTGTCTTCAGAGTGATCAATTAGCAGACCTTCCCACACTGGTAGCATAAATGATTGTGTATTCTAGCACAGGAACATGATATTTTTTATCTCTAAAAGCCTGAGCTAAAACACACTCAAGCTTCCACTGAGTCATTCAGCATGGGTATAAAGTGTACATAAAAGAAAGTTTATCTGGAAAGTAATTTTATTAAAATAATTATGTAGGTGCAGTACAATTCTTATGATTTCTACAATAGCTTTTCTTATTAAAAGTTCATGAGGAGAAAATGGAATCTGTACACTGAAGAGATCACAGAGCAGTTCATCCAAGAATATTATATAGGGGTAGATGATAATGGGATAATTAAATCACAAGGGGTAAATTGTCATTAACTCTGAAATACAAAAGTTGCCTTAAAGAAGTACCTCCTTCTAGAGAGTTTCTATGAAAAACGCTTAAGTCCATTTTTTTTCTATTTTTTTTTTTTTAATGGAAAGACATTCCTGGTTTTGAGGTCACCAGATCACAATTTACAGTTTAAACAATGCAATAATATCTGCAAGAGATATTGGCTAGACTCTTCTGGTGACTGCAAAGTTAATTTCTTTGCTTCAGACTCTTCTTGCCCTAAATACCTATTTCTTAGACCATATTGTGAACAAAGATCTCTTAGGTGAATTTTGGGTGCCTTTAAAAGTCATTGGTTTTCCTCCTAGTAGTACAGTAAAGCATTAAGGAAAATGGGAATTACTACATAAGATAAAAGACCAAGATGTCAAGCACCTAAAGTAAGCAAATTTTGGCTACCCCAGGCAGTCCAAGGTCTAAGCTAATGCCATGAAGTCTCTATTGAAAAGAGGCCAGATCTATTCCAGCTTTTTCCCCAGCATTATCATTTACCCTATGATCATAACACCATGCTTAATATTTAGACAGACAGTGCTGCCTAATAGAGTCCAAGGTCATCTGCTCCTACCCAGAAATTTTATATTTAGACTGAATTCTTGCTACTTGAGTTGATTTTAGCTTTCTGCTTCTGGGACAAGCAGATATTGTACATCAGTATATGCTTTTGTACATCATCTCTCAATCTTCTTGCGTATTTTCTTCTCTTTATAGATGTCTTCAGCCCATGCAGAATCACATAGAACTGGTTGTGTTGTGACAGATTAGGATTCACATGTCAAATATGACATGCTAACAAATTTCACATTGCAGCTCCAAGTGCCTCATTTTCAATGATAAGCTGTCGTCCCTGAGAAAACAAAATAAATGAATGCCTTAAATTATCTCTGCAAAGCCTAATGAAACAAAAACCTTAAATGTTACAGTTGGCACAAAATGTTCAATTGCAACAAAACAATTCCAGGCTCATTGAGCTCGTTTGGGCATTCTTTTCATTCCTGGGGAGCCTCATGAGGAGAAGTGCCTTCACTTTGCTCTTGCTGCTCCTTGCTTTTTCAGAAGTGCTTGGGAAGGGCATTAAATGTCTGAAACCTGTCCCCTGTTCAAATTCATCCTTTCATGAAGCAAGAGTCAAACTGGTTGACCTCAGTTGTTACCAGGAAAAACTTCAGTGGTTTTCACTCCACTGTAATTGTGGCAGACTCACACCAGGAAATGAGATTATTCCATAGTTATATTTTGGGGTTCCAGGCTAACCCAAGATACACTTTCTGCCCTTTCTAACTGGATGATTAATGTCAGCAATGTTTACTGAGCTTGTTGATGGACACAGCAGCACATTTCTCAAGGTACCTGCACAGTGCCTTGCAGTCAGCTCTTCTGAGACAGGTGCAGTGTGTGGAGGCTACAAGTGTCTTTTACCTCAAGGTCGTGGATTCAAATCTGGTGACAATGCCCAAGAAATAATCTCGCCAGTCCTGTTCAGCACTTTGGCAAAATGAGGTTTAAGTTTCTGAGTGACATGAAAATAATGTTGATAAGGAAAGAACGAAAATATATTGAAAAATGTTTATGTTCCTGTTTTACACAATGATACCTTTAGAAAGAGGGTATTTTACCCACTCTCCCTGCACAAAAATAACACTTTTGATTTGTGTTTAATTCCAGTTACCTTGTCCTACTTGTTATCATTTACTATTTTAATTTGCTGTTTCATTACTGAGCAGATTGATTCTTGGTCCTAAAGAATTCTCATGGAATTCTATTCATGATGAAAATTAATTTCCCATTACTGAGATACAAAGACTTAAAATTGCTTTATCAAAAATCTTAAAACAAGTGTGTTGTTTGTGGCAGAGGTGTATAATGAAACAGCAGGGGAACAGGATGTCTGATTTTCTGAATAGGAATAAGTTATGTTGATACCTATAATATAGATACTATCTATAAAGTTTAAAAAATACAACCACATGTTAGACTTAATGCTTGTTATTATGGAAAGCCATTGTAAATACATGGAAAACCAACATAAATCTTGCTGAGCTGGGACATTGCAGACAGCTTCCAGGGATCAGGTACAGGACCCAACAAGAAGCCAGGCCAACTTAGGCACAATTCAGCAGATAAAGCTTAAAAATTACTTCCTAAATGTAGGGGTAAACTTAATTTGCGGAGAATGAGCAGTTAAATCACTAAAAGCTGAAAAAGATTGCCTTCTTATTCTCCATGTAGAAATTAGCCAAAATAACTTATTCTCCAGTGCTGGGAACAGAAATGAAATGCTAAAATGTCAGAAGATCAAAGCAAGCCATCAGCAGCAATTCAGTGTGATTTTCCAGACCAGTGAAATGCGTGGAAAGATTCCCAGCACTGCCAGGTCAGGGGAAGGCCACTCAAGTTTCTTATGACCTTGGCTGCAGCACAGACCACAGAACTTCACCGAGTTGCTTTTCTCGCTGAGCACTGTGTCATATAGTGAAAACACCTTTTGGAAAAACATTTTATTGTGATGCAAAACCTGCAAAGGACAGAGTGTCCTTTCATGAGGCTTTCATAGAGCTAACCGTGTCATTATCACAGATTTACATTGTCCTCTCAAGAATTCAGAGGGCAGCACAAGTCGTTCAGAACCAGGTTGTGCAGCTTTCTTGTTGAGAACAGTGGAAGCCCTCCTTTCTGACAGACATTAGGCACACACCCAAAGCTCTGTGATAAAGAAAACTGTATCTGTGCATGTGGAATTGTTACCAGAGGGCTCTGGGGTTGTTTTTGGTTTGTTCTTTTGATTTTTTTTTTTTTTTTTCAAAATTCAGTCTTTCAACAACAAATCTCTGAGTTCTCATTCATGCAAAGCTTGCTTTGACAAAAGGCTCATGGAATTGGCCCTTGATGTAGCTCCTAAAAATGCCCACAAAAGTACTGACTCTTAGACTTTTCAAGCTAGTGTACCATGAGAGAGGAACACATTATTTCTTTAGGCTTTGCTTTTTGTACACTGGGGTTGAACAGAGCAGCCTAGATTGCCTGGTTATAAAAGATAGCAACCACTTCACCTTTTGTGTCAGAGCTAAGAAAACAATAAAGGCTGAGGGTAGGAATGTTTACAAAGGGCTTTATAAATTCAACAAAGATGGCAAATACTTTAAATCAGTCTTTTAGTATAAACAAACCTTCTTGCAGGAACTTGGAGGCAATTCTTTGTCTGTTTTATAACATCCCAGCCAAAATCTCATTAAAATCTGAATGCAGTCAATTCCTACATACTTTCAGAAGAACAAATGTGAACTTCTGCAGGATTGCAGGTTTTCCAGTGGCAAAGCCTTACTGTTTCCCTTCCCGTCTTGCAGCTCTGAGGCTGTGCCCCTGATAGCTCTGCAAACTGAGCATTTCTCCTGTAAGGCCCCTGGGAGGCCAAGCTGGTGCTGTACCTTGCTTTGCTGAGGAGCAGCCACACTCTTCTGCGTTATACTTCCACAAAGACACTCAAACATAATTAGAAATCTTTCTCAGGTAATTCCCTCTGGGTACATGGCATAACAGTCACAGATTTTGAGCACAAAAATAAGTGTGATTTTGACTGGCTTTGTGATTTTTTTCTGTATTTTCTTACACAAAGAAGTTTGTATAATTAAAATAGCAATTTCAGCTTTCAGAGAAGGCGCTTTTTGCCCCCTAAATCCTGACCACTTGTAGAATCATTGTATTTGAGTAATAATGAAAAAATTCAACCTTATTTTAAATTTTAGTATTTTATTCTTTGAAGATTTGAAAACAAACTTGAGAAGCAAGGAGCCCTTAATTCCCAATACCATTGGAAGTATTCCCAAAACTTCCAATGCTAGAAGGTTGGGGTTTTTTCCATTAACAGGTATTTTTTAAGACTTTGAATAAGTTTTTATGCTGTATCTGTGTGCATTTGTAGTCTTTTCTCTTGTTTGATTGACCTAGATATAAAGTGCATCATGTTTGAGACCTCTGAGCAGCATGAATTTCAATTCCTGGAAAGTATGTAATGTGAGTTTGGAGAAAATAGAAAATGGCTTCACTGTCCTTCCATGACTTTCCCAAACAATCTTTGATACTAAAACTTAGATATAAAAACTTTTGGAAGTAAATTTTTTACTGTGAAGGTGGAACATTGGAACAGGCTGCCCAAAGAAGTTTCGGATTCTCATCCCTGGAAGTGTTCAAGGCCAGCTTGGATGGGGCCCTGAGCAGCCAGGTCTAGTAAGAGATGTGCCTGGAATGAGATGCTCTTTAAGGTCGCTTCCAAACCAAACCATTCTATGATTATATAAAAAAACTCTTGCCTTTGATTTGCTTTCTAAATGTGAAATTTAACTGAACACGTACCAACAGATAAGTTATTTATATTATTTTATCTACAGGCTGAAAAATAACACAGTGATATTTGTTTTAATTTTGATTTAGATAAGAAAAGGTATAGTTTTACTCTTTATTTTATTAGTGAAATGGGGCTAGTAGAGTGAGTACCTGTCTAATAATGGGAAGATTCTTAGGAATTCTGATAGTAAAAAAGAAGTAACATGAATAGATGCTTCAGAAAAGTTGAATAATAAACTCTTGAAGAAGGGTGGGAAGCTGAGATAAAAAGCCATTCAGTGACAGGCCACAGAAAGTATTTTATGACAGAAAAAACAGAGCAGGGTCTTTCATCCAAAGAGTGGAGGAGGCAGAATGCCTTGAAGGTATGTTCCATATATGTGCACCTGATGCTGTTAGCAGATGCCAAAAAAAATTTTAGAGTATCAGCCCCAGCATTCTATGGTATTTAGTGTTGCTATTTTACTTAGTATTATTATTATTGTTGTTGTTGGTTTTGTTGTTATTGCTATCATTGTGGTTAGTAGATATGATGTGCTAGATATTGTCCATTAGTAGAGAAAATGGATGAGGAAAAAAGTGCAGTGCAGGCTTTTATGTGCAAAACAATTCAAGGTAAGTAGCATAATAAAGAAAGGACTTTGGGAACCTCATGGGTGAGTCCAGGGAGGACTTGTAGGCTGCTGAAGGGGAACCTGAACAGTTGAAATTGGATAGTAGATGTAAAAGGGGTGGGTAAGGCAAAAGAGGATTCATTTTTTTTAATGTCTTCCGAAAACAATTGCCGGAGTGTTTTTCTGTTGCACTGCAGACAGTTTGTCCCTGGACCCTGAAGTCTCCAAGGCAAATGCCTATGGTTTCACTGGCTGCCTGTCCTCTGTGCAGTACAACCACATCTCTCCCCTGAAGGCTGCCTTGCGCCACCCCAGCGTTGCTCCCGTGACTGTCCAAGGCTCCCTGACAGAATCCAGCTGTGCATCCATGATGGAAGCTGATGTGAACACAGCAACCACAATATATTCCTCATCAGGTGTGTCCTGCTGTGGGGGCATTGGGGAGGTTAAAGGATGCTGTAGAGTGAGGTTTCCTTCCTTTGTGCTGTAATGCAATTGTGACAGTATAAACAGTGGAACTGGGAAGTTCCCTTTTCTCTCAGAATCAGGAGTGTTGAGCATGGGCATCAGGATTAGCCAAGGCTCCTTTAAAAGTCATTGTTCTGAAACACTGTTTTCAGACTAAGTTCCTGGATTGCCTAAAACAAAAAATCCCTAAGCTGTAGTGGGAAAGCTTTGAAAGTTTGGTTATGCACCTGATTTGTCATTCCTGTCCACCAGATGATTCTGGTGCTGCAGATCTCAAAGGACAGCCTAAATGTTACACAGATTCTGCATTCTAGTGGTGATAAAGCAATAGAAGTCATATAAAAAACAATTCAAATTTGTTCCTGCCCTAACAGAAATGAGCAAAAACTCTTGTACAAACCCCTTGGCATGTGTGACTTCCACTGAATGCTTGTACTTCATTCTCTCAGACTAAAGAGAGGGAGCATTACTTGAGCAGTACCAGCAAGATGATCCCAATTGTTTGTGTATCTTTTGCAATCCTGAAGCTGCCCTCTGGGAATCTGAAGTGTTTTGCATATGTGAATTTGTATGCAGAGAGGGAAGCTGAGAGCAGCTGGAAGTGTTGTCACCATGAACAGGGACTATCAAGTTGCTGCTTTAGTCACCAGTGGATGTGGCAGGATTCTTAATGACCAGAAAAGGGTACAGATTAAAGGCTGGGTTTTGCCCCTTGACCTATAAAGCAACTTTCTCCTTTCTGATAACAAATAAAACTCTAGTTTAGATCATAATACAATTCCTTTCACATTTGTACTTACATCAAATCCCCATTTCCTGCAGTTTTTGCCTAAGATGTTCAGCAGAAAACAAATGATGCTATTAGCATTCTGCACAGGAAAAAGGCTGCTGATTACTCTGGAGAGTGGCTGCCAGTGTGCATGTGCTCCTCCCCAGCCCCCCACTTCCTTCTCACTGCCTCCAGTTGTCTGAGGTGTCTGCTCTGATGCACAGACAAATGTGAGCCCTGAATGGGCAATGATACTGAAAATATGAACTCTTTGCCCTGTAATCTGTCACCTCAATGATCTAATTTTTCTAAGATTTTAGAAAGCACTAAAACCTGAGGCTCAGAACTTCAGGGCAGAACACAGAGCAGAGTGTAGCATTTGAGCTTAAATATTTAAAGCATACAATCAGTTGCACTCTATTGTTAAGGTTAAGCACTGTTGCATCAGAAATGCAGAATTATTATAAAAACTTATGCCTGTCTTGGCACTCTGTGCTCTAAAATATGATTTCCTCTCAATGTGATGAATTATCTGACATTCCAGTCTCACTATTCACACTGGATTTGATTAAAGCCTGAATAAGAGCTTTAGAACAAGTGAGCTCTGAAGACTTCATGTCTTTATATGCTAAAGTAAAAGCAATGGGTGGTTGATTCTTGTTTAAAAAAAATTCCAATTTGTAGCAAATTATAATTTCTATAGATGTACTTGAGCATTACATTTTCACATGCAAAGGACACATTTTTAAGAAATAAAAAGAAAACAGAGTCAAGGATTAACTTTCAAATTTAGTGTTCATATCTCAATTCATCACTTCCAATTTCTCATTATTGAATGTCTGAGAAGAAAAATAGAACTTCAAAGGAGGCTGTACATGTCTATGTCGATATTCTAATGTGCAGATACAACAAAAAAGCCCACTAGGAAAACTCTTAAAGTGTGTAAAAAAAGCCTTCTATATTTGTAACTTGAAACAATTGAAGCTGTTTCCTTCAGAAAGGAATACTTGTGTTCAAAAAAGTTTCCTCCAGACAGATATGGAATAAAATCCATTCATACAGTTTTCTGAACACACTTCTTCTGATGAGGAAGCACAAAATGAGAGGTGGCTTACTGTGGTTTTTGATCTTTAACAAAGATCTGCAGATCACCTTCTTCCTTGCTGAGGCACGTGTAAAGATCTTGTTATTTTGAACTCTGCATTGATGGTATAGAGATAATATACTTTTCCTGTGGTATTTTTCTTAATATTAAACTGCTGCAAAAATTACAGAGGAGATTCAGGTGTGTGAATAGTGGAGTCTTGAGCTGCCTGTCCCCTGAGAGCAGCTCTTCAAGCATTTAAAGTAAAAAATGTCAGATACTTCCATTAAGTCTGAAACTACACAGAAAAGATTTGCTTCTGAAAGGCACCTTAAACAGTGAAGTTCTGTCTCATTGTGCCAATTGTGCTGAACCTGGTATTTCCAAACAAGCTCTGACTGGCAAGGGATATGCCAGGACAGCCTGGGCTGTAGCAACTATGAGATGGTGCAGTTGAGGATCCTCAGAGGAAGGAAAAAAGGCAGAAATGCATGACTGCAAGCTTTGACCTTCTCATGGACCTGCTTGGAGAATCCCTCAGGATACAGACTTGGTAAGAAGAATGGTGTGAAGCCCAGACAGGTTGTAAAGTCTTCATCCTTGGATATATTCAAAACCCAAATGGATACAGCTCTGAGAACCTTGCCCTAAGAGACTTGGATGTGAGTAGGGGTTTGGACTAGATGATTTCTAGGGAGCCTTGTGACCTCAGCAGGGCTTCCAGCCTCAGTGAACCAAGCTGTAATGCCATCAGTTTTATCTCAAAGGAGGAGGATGTCCTGTTAAGGTCCTAGATGAGACCCAGTGTTGCTATTCCTTGGCTTCAGAGTGCATTGTGTTCCCAGTGGTGATGGCTCTGCTGTTACAGACCATCTGCTGCACTGTAAAAAACCATCCTCTCCTTGTATCCTGATTTTATTTCTCAGGCAAAATGTAATTCTTGGGGCTTGTGGCTGTTGGCCTCCATTCTGAAACTGCTCTTCAACATTTGTTCTGTTTTCTTCTCAGTGCTTAAATTCCAGTAACCAAAAATAGTGAAGTGTTGATTGCATTAGGTGTCAAATCTTAAATAATATTTTTGGCACAAATAACATCTTATATAATTTTAATGAAATTTAATTTTATACTTTTTCATACATAGTTAATAATTTTTCATTATTTTTTGACTAGTGCCATGCATTGGCACTAGTTGTGATTTTTTTCTCTAGTGCAGGAGAACTGTTGTAGAACAGTTGTAAATTTTTAATTGTCACTGAATTCACTGACTTCAGCTGAGGGATGGGGTAAAAAATATCTCACCAAACTTCCATTATCCAGAAAGTTAACTCATCTTCAATGTGAAATAATGAATGCTTTCCTCTTCTAGTTTGTGAAAAGAAGTGAGTCACACCACTATCAATTTCTGACAGCCATCTTAGGGTATAAAATAATTGTAGGCTGTTCTCCTCTTTGACTAGATTTTAAAAAAAGCCCTAAATTGCTAGTTTTGATTTATATAACTTATGTATACTGAAAAATAAAGTGAGATTAATCTACTGATGATGTACAATATTATTACCATGACATAATTTTGAATTTAGCTATGTTTGAGTTTATGATCAGAGGCCTGAGATTAGGCTAAATAACCCCAGATTTCCTTCCCAGTCTAACCTTCTGTATGATTCATTCTATATTATTTGTGTGTAAAAGTCTATTTTTATTCCCGTTCCAGTCCCACAAATGTAGTAGATGAGATGTCCCAAGCAGAGACTGCTTCTCGTTTGGGATTGAATTCAAGTTATATATCTCATCTATAAGATAGGTCAGATCTAAATCCGCCCAGGATCCCTTTTGGCTTCTTTCTAGTATCATTTCTTAGGTAACAATAAAAAAGATAATAATACATCTCCAACTGAGAAAAGCTCCCAGTAGGATGTTTAGTTAAAATGTCTCTTTGATTCTTCTGATGAACTGAAACAACAGTTTCAGGTGTTAATGTGAAACTTTCTGTTTCCTTTTACATGTACTGTTAATAGAATTTGCTCCTGAAGGTGTAGAATAAAATTGTTCTGCAAACTCACTTTATTTTTCAGACCCTTCTGGTTCAATTCTCCAATCCCCCAAATTACATCTTCTGAAAACAGGTAGAATTCATGAGAGTAAGAGGGCACTTCTGTCTAAGCCACAGGGAAAATGAACAGTTGATACAGAAAATAAGTTCTCTTTTGTTTAACCAACTGCAGATCCTTTTGGGAAGACAGATGAAAGAGAACCTCTCACCAATGCAGTCAGAAGTGATTCAGCTGTGATTGGAGGTAACTTCATTTTTAAAGACTGCAGTCTAAACATAATTTTGTCAAGGCAAAAAATCTAGGAGACTTTAAATCTGGGTTCCATGAAATCGAGTCCAAGGGGGTTTTTGGTAATCTGAAGCAGGTCTAGTATCTGCTCTGTTGATTAGCATGTATCTATGTCAAGCTGCATAGGTAGGCAGCTGTATTGTGGATTATGGTGGTCACACATGGATTATCAGAAACCTGAATCTTTTGAAATACAGCTGAACTCTGCCTGCCTGCCTGCTTGAGCAGGGGATCTGGACAAGATGATCTCCAAGGGTTCCAGGTGTTCTCTGATTCCATGTGAGCCTGTGTTCTAAGACCCAGCTAAGCAGCCATTGTTTTACACACCACCCTGGTGAATACTTTGCATAGAATTCACATATCTTGTATTTCCTGAGCTCTCTCTTTGTAATCCGGTGGTGTAGTGAAACTCACCAGGTCATATGGAAGAATTTATGTACTGGGGAACATTGTCCTCATAATTTCATGTGTGGTTTTAATTTTCCTATAATGGCCTAGAAGACAATTTATCTCTGTTTATTTTATAGTATGCCCTGTAGTGAGCTGCCTTTGATAATATCTAGAAGCTATAAACCAAAGTGTACAAGGCTCATGCAAGGTTCCCAGAGATAAAAGAAGAAAATATGACAGAGCAGGAATTTGTATGAGCAGATCTAGTGTTTTAAAAGCAAACAAACACACTGAACTAACTTTATTTCCAGTGAAAGCATAATTTTACAGAAATTAGGTCAATTATATCAATATATGGTCTATTTTAAGAGTTCTTAAGGTGACAAAATAGAAATAAAAAACTACCAGGGAGGGTTTGATAGAGGCTTATGGTTGTGTATGGACTGAGATGAACTGATCTATCACACCAACTAGCTGCTGTGCATGGATAAATGTGTTTTGGAGGTAACTGAGCCTTTTGTTTTGGTTTTCACTCTTTCTGTCCTTCCTATTTTACCCCTTCACAGGAGTAATAGCAGTTGTGATATTCATCATCTTTTGCATCATTGCCATCATGAGCAGATTCCTCTATCAACACAAACAAGCACATCGAAATAGCCAGAAAAAGGAGAAGGAATACCCAGAAAACCTTGAGAGCTCCTTTAAAGCTGACATTGACTTGCAAAACACAGTGAGCGAGTGCAAACGGGAATATTTTATCTGATGGACAATGCAATTTCTTCTTACTCTTCCTCCCCTAACCTCCCTTTCTTTATTCCTTTCTCCCTTCCTTTTTTCTTTTTGATTTTTTCTTTCTTTTTGGATGTTTTTTTCTTTTTTAAAACTCATTTTTTGCTAGCTTCTTTTTCATTTGGAGAAGACCGCCCTGCACAGGAAACACTGAGAACAATCACAGTGCCTCATTCTCTGCACAGAGCCTGGCAGTCACAGTTTACTTCTGCAGCTCAAGAGATCTGTTACCCCATCCTACACAAAATAAGATCCACATGCACACCTGGTTTCTGCTGTCAGTTCTTGGATGTTTCAAAACCGCTACATTTATTTATTGTTATTTTTTTTCTCTGGAGACGTTTAAGTCATTGCTTTTACACTAGAGCTGGACTATGTAAAGTACAGGTAAAGTAGTTGAACACATAGCTCTGCAGATACTGGGACAGGATAGAGGGAAAGAATGAGATCAAAACAGCTGATTTATTTCATGGGCTCATTTACAACAGTCATAAAGAACCAGCCAAATTCTCAAATGTTATTAATTGATATATTGTCTATTGATTTAAATGGTGTTAAATTAATTTGTACCAGTTGAAAAGCTGGTATGGCATAAAGGAAAATAAAACTGTCCTCATTAAGCTCCTTCCCCCAACCTCCTGTCCTTTTACTGTAACTTTTAGGCTTCTCAGTACTTTTCCAACAATATATGTATCAACAATAAATATCATTCCCATGCACCTCTTTCACCTCCATCTCATAAGGCTGGCTACGTAGACCCAGCATACACTAGTATAACCCTAGCTGAAGCATGGAAAATAGTAGCTTGAATCTCCACGGGGTTTAGGAAGCTGCTAGGACTTAGGTGCTCTATATTTGTCTGAAATTTTAGAAATGCAGCATATGCGTGTTCATGCCACATGGAGGATTATCACACACTGAGGTTAAACGCTGTTGCCCCTGTGGAAAAGAAAAAGAACATAGATGAGAAAAAAACCAAAATAGTTTAATCTTAAATATGACTCACACCTTCTGCCAGCTCTTCTAAAAAAAGAAAAAAGAAAAAAAAGTCATACTACTTTAAAAAGCCTCCCAAAACTGCATGAAAGATTGATTGGTATTTCCTGTTTGTAGAAATTGGAATAACTTCTCCAAAACTAAATAGAGAGAGATCTGAGGTCATGTCTAAAAAGATGAATATTTGATAAACCTTCTTTACAAGGAAGAACACTAGGGAAACAAAGAGATCCCAAATACTCTACTTCAAATTAATCTTCACGCTTTTTTTTTTTAAATCTTTTGTCCTTTCCTGATTGGGAGCACTACTGAAGAATCAGGTTCTGCCCTTTTTACTTGTGCTGCATGGTTACAGTGTGAGGATGAAAAACCTCCTTTTCAGTCACAAACATCCTAAGGGTAAGAAGTGAAGGAGTCCCGGCCGGTGAGGTTTTGAACTCTCTGTTGTGTGCATGTGACATCTGCCTTTGCAGGGCTTCTAAAGAGGATGTAGAATTTGCTGGTGGTAGAATTAAGCCTAAGGTTAAGGGGAAGAAAAATCTTATTCATTGCAACACTCATTATTTAATTTGAGTTGCAATTGATTGTGCAGCTAAATCTCCTCCTTTGCCCTACTCCCTGTTCAGTCAGCCTGGGGTTTCCACACAGTGTTCCTTTTTACATAGATTTAAAATTAAGGAATCTCAGTATGAGGTAGCAGCCCACAGCAAACTAGAGATGAGCTTACACTTGCAACAGGTGCTGTTTTTCTAGGCAGTCCATTGGAAAGGTATGTTGGTGTTTACTGAAGTTTTTTGAGTTTTTTTTATGAGAGGAGAGAGCAGACAAGGAAGAATAAATAAATAAATTACTGTTTTGATATGGTGATTCTTTACCACTTCTTTTGGAGCATTCAGGGAAGAGAAAGCTGTCTTGGAGTGACATAATTCTTATGTGAGGAGGAATATGAGGCCAGCCCTTTAACCAGAACTCTTCATTGAGCAACTTTATAAAGCTATAAGTCTATATTGAAACTAGTTTGGTGCCATTCTTCTATGATCAACTGCAGCCATTTTGGCACACACTGGCTGTTTGGGTGACAGTGTTTCTGTGTGATGAGTATTGGAACGATGGATTGAGTAGCTGGGTTCCCTTTATGTTGCTTTGTCTTCAGTGGTAAAATCCTGGCAAAGCAATGTTTTTCCTTCCTGCAGATCAAGCTGCTTTGTTTGGCATGGCAGAAGGGAGGAATAGGAGAGTTCATGGGCACCTCTGCCTGTGTTTGAGTCATCTTTTCTGAAATGGCCTCTGTGTGAGACATCTCTGATGTGCTAATGTGATTAATTGGCTACATGAAGAATGGAATAGGAAGGTAAAACTCTGAAAATTTAGCTAGCTTGGGGTGCATATGTAAAAAGAAAGAACTTCATATGAATGTAGGCATTAGTATACAAAGACATTCATTTATACCTGTGGATGTACTGAGACAAGAACTGATGCTACAAGACTGAACAAATGAGCACATTTGTATGGACTTCTAAATCAGGATGTCAAATTATTCTTATTCAAGATAGCTAAAATATACTAAATGAAGTATTCTAAATATATACCCTTTTTTGGTTTTTGTTTTGTTCTAATGCTTTCTTTAGTGAGGGCATAATTGAATTTCCTTCAATATCAGTTCAAAGCAATTAATTTTTTTTAATAAAAGAAATACAGTTTTTAAAAAATCTACTAGAGCTACAGATCATTTTCCTTAGTTCAAATTAGAACTTTTTCCCATCTATTTAAAGCCATTTCTGCTATTTTTGTTAATGTTTCTTTTTAAAAGGGGTGTATTCCCTTTTCCTTTTATCTGTTGTTCTAGATAATATTTTTAAGTAAAGCCAGGGGATAATACTTTTTTACATAAATTTTCAGATTTCATTTCAGTGGAAAGCCTGAGACTGTCAAAGAGTTGTTTAGAGGCAGTTTGGGTTTTCTTCCTTCCCCAAGACAAGTGTCATAATTAAAGTAAGGGACTGGTAGAAGGATACTGTCTGTTTTTTTTTTTCTCTTGGTGATATGATATGTAACCTATGAAAATTATTATTTTTAGGCAAGCTGTGAAATTATGATGTATTTTAGATATGGATTTCAGCACTTCAAATTCCTGTTTTCCAGAAAAGACTTGACAAATAATAGCCATGCTTATAAAGATATTTAGTCATGCAGAAGGACTCTCTGTGAATGCCAGTGCCTGGCTATAGAAAACAAAGGAAGGCTGGATGTCAGAGCTAACTCCAACTAGCTTGGCTGCCACCTGGGTGAAAGATAGGCTTTACAAGGAATTTAGTCTCTTGAGGATGTGGATCAATGCTTAAGTGACTAAACAAAATGAGCTTTTAACTCACATTAATTTCTGTGTCTGCCTTGCTGTGGAATGTTCTAATATACTACAAGACATTTAAATACCTTTGAAAATTGAGTCCCATTTCTCTTTTGGAAGTAAAACTTTGGTCCTAAGTAAGTTACCTATATAATTGGCAGTTAGTATTTCATCTGTCCATATTCACTTATTAGAGACAAGAAAGTGTGAGTGTTTTGGGTCAATTTTTAAAATGTACACTATTTTTATTTCCTCTTGTTCTTGCCATGGCTCCACACCTAGATTATGTCTGCAGTGAAAAAGCCAAATAAAAGACATGCTTTTAACTCATATGGGCCAAGCCAGAATTCCCACCTGGGACTGTAGAAATGACAATATAGAGCTGTGTGGTTATCAGAGTGTGTTCAGTCATGAGGTGCCCCTGATATTTAAGTTAAAATTACAGCCAGATTACAAAAACAAGATGCTTTCTCTTGGCTTTATTTTAACCTGATCTAGCTAGACTTTACTCATCCTATTTATCAATTGCTCAATTTTTAGAGTGTAATCCAAACCTTTATTTTAATGAGATCTTCGTCTATATTAGCATTTAGCTGATCACATATTTCACATATTGGATGAGGAGCAATCAATATATCATATTGTTTCACTATGGTGAGGGGTTATGAATCTTTTCCTAATGAAGTCGGTATTGATTTTGCTGACGATAAGATTGAGACCTATGAAGCACTTGGATATTGCTTTTATCTTTTGGGTTTGTTTCATTTTGCATTTGGTTTTACCAACTGCCTGTTCCACAATTGTCATCCAGTCTTGTCCAGCCCTGTGGTTGGTGAGGAAGGGCAAATGTCTCAAACATCCTGTAAGATTAAATGAGTCACTAGACATGCCTTTTTCTCTCCATTCATTATAGAGACAGGGTAGTCTCCTGGCAACAGAGAAGTTACTTATAGCAGAATTTGCCAATGAATCCAAATTTTACAATAGTTTTGAAGATCAAGTAGACACGTCTCCACAGGTATTACAAGTGACATTTTTTATTTTTTTACTGAGGTGGTAGCTGGGATCAAGGAAGGACACCTTGCGTCTAAATTACTCTCAAATTTGCTCTAAACATCTCTGCCTACTAAATGTATAAATCTCCTTGTAGGCAAATACATGAAAATCAAGTTTCAAAATACCACTTTGAGCTGGTGACAATCTGATTGATAATCTGTGGGGAAGTGGATAATTCTGCTTTCAGCTTGTTCTAGATCCACATCCATTTTTTGCCTCACATGGGAGCTTTGGCAGATAGCATACATGAAGCCAGATCCACACATTTCTGACTCTAAAGCTAACTCAGCCCTCTCAGATGCCTTTCTACATGTCTAGTGCCATTTGAGATGATACCTGGTATGTCTGCATTTCCAGGAAGGATCCAAGTCTCCTGTCTGTCATATCCTGGCATCTGTTAACCCCAAGTAGCTATGTCTGATATTTGCTGGCTTTTCCAATTATAATAATTTCCCATCCAGGAACCCTAAGTTCTCAATGACATGAATCCCTGAAAAAATAAACCCCATCTTCAGAACAGAATCAACCTTCCTTCTGGAAGGAAGCCAGTCACTTGACATGCATGCTCCACTTCAAACTAACAAGAGTGTAGAGGAGGAGGAATTTGACCTCTTTGTGATCCATCTCATGCCATTGTTGTCACTCTCACCTGCACAAAGTTTACCCTAAACAAGACTAGTTTTAAATATTCTTCTGCACTGCTGGTTTTTTCCACAGACACAAAGGAGTTTTTTTTCCATTTTATTTTTCAGAAAGCAACCCTTCATAAAAGACTTGAGCAAAGTCTGAGACCTTGTGAGTGCTGTTTCAAAGCTTTCATGCAGTTTTTTAATGCCTACTTGCCAAACAAGCCAAGTGATATAGCTTCACCCCTGCCAAACCAAGGGCCTCACCCAGCATCTTTAGAGGTTGGTGGGAGGCCTCTTGCTTGACTACAGTTAGAGTTGCACCATGCCCTTGAAGTTTTGGGGGTTTTCTTCACAGGTTGCCATCGCAGCTTCCCAGCATGATTTGTTCCCTTGGGTTCTGCAGTTTGCTGCACTTTCTTTCCCAGTGGAAAGTTCTTCATGTCCTCTTTCAGTGTGGGTGGCTCCCTCCTCCTGCTACTTTTGTACATGAAACTTCTAAACACATTCTTCTTTTGGGTCTGAAGTAGCTTTTTTTCTTTGACTGTTTATTTCAAGACATGCCTATAGAGAGTTTGAATATTTCAGTGTATTGGTGCTTATTTTTGT